ACATCAAATTTGATGTGGGATATCGTATGCATGACTGATTTTGTAAATCACGTGATTGGCTAACTTCATGCATATTAATCAATCTTGGTAAATTTTCAAAATTGAAGATGCGGATGTCTCGACTAGAGCAAGCTCCAGTTCCCTTTTGGATACCTACTTGAATTAAAACAGTTAGCATAATAGTTCTGGCCTGCTGAGAACGACATGGACTGATAACCGTAGGCTATAGGCCTACTTGGAACCTTGCTCACCACTAGCTGCTACATAGATTTAGGCCTTTAAGGTAGAATATTGTTAAAAAGGTAGGCCTCTGTAAGTAAGAACTTAAAAATAAGCCAAGCCTCTACTAGTCTAGGCTAGGCCTACTACCAGACTCCAGACGAGGCCTGAACCATCCTACTGGAAAGTTAAAGTTTTGTTGTATTTGTATGTATGCCATCTAGTCTTAGCTTAATTGTTATTGCCAACATTAGTCTTACTAGGGTCTATTCTAAATATTTTAGGCCCGTTTTATTATGGAAGACTATTTAAATTTAGTCATGCCTAACCACGGACTTATGGCCTAACTAGTCGACGCGAGTGACTCAGTTTCGTTTGATTCATTTGATTGGTTAAAATTGTTTATTTCGGTCCGCCCATTTATCCAAATATGGAATATAAGATTACGTCATTCTTTTGGCATCCTGGTGCCTGATTTCAGTGTTTTACAAGTCGCTTATTCCGTCTATAAATTAACTTTCTCGTTGGTGGCGCTGTCCAGAATGAGAAAAATAATAAAAAATAAGAGACTTGTGGCAAGTGTACCTCAGTTTGTGATAGTACTTTCCGAGATAGGATTCCGTTTCAAAGAAACCCCGACAGTCCAATCTCTTGCCACTCTAGGCCTACGCCTTTTTCTTACCTTGATCGCAGAGTGATCCCCAGTAGCCATTTGCACAGATGCATTTGTATTGGCATTGACTTTCACTATTATCTGCAATACAGGTTCCACCATTTTGACAATACACTCCCAAGCAAGGGTCGAAAACTACAGAGAACGGGGCGAAGGAGAGCTATTTAGTATGACTTAATTATGGTGTCACGTATTGCTACGAACCGGTCTTCAACTTATCGTTACAACTGAATATAATAATAATGAAATATTTTCTCAATGCAAATAGCATGGATATCCTAACATCACATTAATACATTTGAATTCTTTAAAAAATGAAGTAGTGGGGCGTAACTTTGCTGCTTCATTATTGTTTACACAAATCGAGGTTTCTATAATTTCAGAAACTCTGATGAGTATTGCGATCAAAACTACAATATAATGTTCATGTGCATATAGATACTTATACTGACGTGTTTCGCAGTACGTTCCCCAGGAACAACTCGTGCATTCACATGTAAATCCTACGACACTATGTGGTGCACAGGTTCCGCCATGCTTGCAAATTACATTCTGACAAGGGTTGTTGGCTGAGGGGGAAAATACGGTACATTTGTATATAATGTATCATATCAATAGAAATACATTTATATATATGATACACATTTTATTTTGAAAAAAAGCACAGAAAAATAAAGCACGAACCAACATGCTGCACGATTAAATCAATTAAAGAATACAGCTGAGAATAAAAATGCAAATCATAAAATCTTAGTGATACCGATAAAAAATAGTATTTGCTCTCTAAATCGAAAAGTGTTTATAAGTAACGCTCATGTCGTGTACTATAATTTCAGTTCAACAGTAAAAATTAAATATAAATTGTTGTGAATACTTACTATTTTCGCAGTGTGTACCACTGTATCCACCTAGGCAGATACATTTGTACTCACATTGACCGTTGGAGGTATCAACAGCACAATCACCACCATTTTGACAATAAACGCCACTACACGGATTAGTATCTATGATGTAAGGACATTGGAAGAAAGTGAATGTGATGGTTAAAAGAAAAACTGTTCATGATAAATAATAAACAACTGGCTGTCAATTGCGCCTTTTCTTTTTCTTTTTTTTAAATGTAAAAAGTTTCTTTATTTTGACAAAGGAAGTATATTTAGCTGGTAATGAGTACGGTATATTTTAGTGTGAAACAAACTACTGCTTACCTAATAAGTCCGAAGGCGTGTTCCATTTGTGATCTTTCGGGCGTTGAATTGGGCAATCGGGAGACAATTCCCTACACTTTCTAAAAGGTGTACTGCGTTCTTTTACGTGGACACGGGTCATAATTACAAATTAGATCAAAGGGTTAAACGTCTTATTACCAGCAAGCGGATAATAGACACAGACTAGAGGGTACTCGGAGATTGCATTCCTCCGCCCATTATAATTCTCCTCAATATAAATTCCCCCCGCATATTGTCCCCATAAAATTATGGAACAAAAAAATAAGCAGACTCCTTGGGATTTGAACCCGAAGCTGGTAGTGTGGTAAACCCTCTTCTAACCACTACACCAATGTTTTCACATATATCCCTTTGAAATTAATTGTCATATGTTTATTTACACTTTACCGCCAAGCCAGTAAAAGCACACACACACACACAACCTATTATACGGCAAACAGTTATACCAGATTTTCGATCACTGTATCCTTGTCCTTTAAACATGACCCTTCAAAATTTAGTCACTTCCAGATCTTTGGTAAAAGAACATTTTGGTCAAGTTTAACAAATTTCTGATAAAAACTGTTTTTTAAAAAAAATCGGTTTTTGTTGATTGTCACCTTGATATTTAACCCTTACCCTTCAACATTCAAATATTTTTAGATCTTTAAAGTTTAATCAGATCTAGATATTAGGTAAAGAAACATTATGGCCAAGTTTGACGAATTTGTGATAAAAACTATGGACTGTAGCCTATTCACAACAAATATGCCGACAGACAAATAAATAACTAAATAAATAGACAGGGAAAAACATAACATCCTGCAAACTTCGTTGGCGGAGGTAGAAAGAAGAGCGGATATTGGTATTGAGCCAGTGACCAACTTAAAGGATCTCCACAGTTCATCGCACACACAGAGGCTACCACTAATTAACCGACAGTGATGGCGGTAGGATTTGTCAATGTCCTTGACGGAGATGGGGAAGAGGAGGATAATTCCGACGATAAGGCAGATTTCCTTGACGTGCAGCGAAGCCCGATCACTCCGACGGGAGCATAGGTGGGCGGAGGGAGGGCAGTGCAGAACCCCTTGGAGGGGCTCTATTAGAGAATCCATCTGGAAACACCCGTATTTTAGTGATTTGAAAGCTAATTTCATCGAGTAAAGTAAATTTTATATAATGACATGTCTATACTTACAAACTAAACAGCCGTAACCGGATTGGCACGGAGGACAGCTAGTACATTGAGCCTGACATTGGTCGTTGTAATTAACGACACATGTAGTACCCGGATTGCAATATAGTGTGTCACATGGAGATGTGTCTGTTAATAAAAAAAATTGTGAGAGTGAAATGTCGATTTAAAACTAGGCAAAACCTTATCTACACTAGACAAACATATTTGTTATCACCAGACGCTGCTATGTTCTTTCATTTTAAAAGTAGCTATAAAGAAACGCCAAAATTATTATGATATCGATACAATACTTACATGTTTCGCAATGCGTTCCCCAAAAACAGCTCTTACAATGACATGTAAACCCTCCGACATTTGGAGTACATGTTCCGCCATTTTGACAAATGACATTCTGACAAGGGTTGCTGTTGTCTAAAGAAAGGAAAACACATAACACATTTATACTAACAAAATTACAATTTTTCCTCCACGAAAATGTTTCAGAAAAATATTTTTTTTTTTTGTCTGTTTTAGGTGTGTGGGTGTAATCGTAAAACTGGAAGGTATGCCTATTTTCATATCCCTTAATCAAAAATACAAAAGAGGAGTCTCGTAATTTAATAACTAAAGATATAATAATTAGCAATTTCATAAAAAGCGAACAAAAAAATATGGGTGCCCTACTTTTAAATTAATCAGAAAAAAAAATCAGCAATAAATATTATATAAAGACAGTTTAGTATTTCTTCTTAAAACACGCCACCTTTGTGGTTTACATTATAGTTCACATAAGTATCCCGAGGACAGCGACATGGACAGTTTTAAAACAACTGGATACAAGCCATCATATTTCTACATTCCAAACTGTATTCGTTCGTCTTCAGGATCAAGATGAATTCTTCAAGATAAAAAATTAAAGTTACTATCCAATTCTAAGAAATGTCAATGCTTACATTGTTCACAGTGTGTACCACTGTATCCACTTACGCAATTACATTTGTACCCACATTGACCGTCGGAGGTATCAACAGCACAATAACCACCATGCTGACAATAAACGCCACTACAAGGATCAGTATCTATGATGTAAGAAAATTAGAAGAAAGTGAATGTGATGGTTTAAAAAACCGTTCATTATAAATAATAAAGAACTGGCTGTCAATTGAGCTTTTTTATTTCTAAATATAAAACGTTTCGTCTTTTTGGCAAGGGAAGCATATTCGGCTTGATAATATGAGTATATTAAATATATGTATTCGTTCTCACTAAAATTTTTAGTGTGAAACAAACCAGGGCTTACCCAGTAAGTCCGAAGAGGTGTTTCCATTAGTGGTCCTTCGGGTGGTGAATTGGGCAATCGGGAGACAATTCCCTACACTTTTCGTAAGGTATACTGCGTTCCTTTACGTGGACACGGGTCATAATTACAAATTAGACCAACGGGTTAAACCTCTTACCCAAAAGACGCTATCGTGTTACTCCTCAGCTTAACAAAATATCGGTTTGCACAATATAGGCTCCCAGCATGTGGCATTTGTCTACTGCTTGATATACTTTTTGTTTTTTGGTTACTTTTAACTTATAACCAATACGTTGTCAGACACAAACTGCATTTCAGTTGTCTTATTGTATATATTGTATATTTAAGGGTGATTAGGCCTAAATATACCAGGCTTATCCTGCTTAAACATTTATTTTTTAGTAGTTTAATTTTTCGGAACACTGTTCATATCTATCTTTAGCATATGATGCATTCCAACTCCACTCGGATTTACTCTTTAATTTACAGGGGCTACCACTAATCAACCGACGGAGTGGTACGCTATGATTTGTCAATGTCCTTGACAGAGGCGAGGGAGGGGGGATGTTTCCGACGAGAAGGCAGACTTCCTTGACGTGAAGCCCGATCTTCCCGACGAGTCGAGCATAGGTGGGTGTGGCGAGATATGGGAGAATCCCCCTGGAAACTCCCGTATTTTAGGGATTTGAAAGCTTTATTTTATCGAGTAAAGTAAATTTTATAAAATTACATGCCTATACTTACTAATTAAACACCCGTAACCGGATTGGCATGGAGGACAGCTAGAACATTGAGCCTGACATTGGTCGTTGTAATTAACGACACATGTAGTACCCGGATTGCAATATAGTGTGTCACATGGAGATGTGTCTGTTAATAAAAAATTGTGACAGTGAAATGTTCGATTTAAACAAGGCAAATCCTTATCTACACTAGACAAACATATTTGTTATCACCAGACGCTGCTATGTTCTTTCATTTTAAAAGTAGCTATAAAGAAACGACAACATTATTATGATATCGATACAATACTTACATGTTTCGCAATGCGTTCCCCAAAAACAACTCTTACAATGACATGTAAACCCTCCGACATTTGGAGTACATGTTCCGCCATTTTGACAAATGACATTCTGACAAGGGTTGCTGTTGTCTGAAGAAAGGAAAACACATAACACATTTATACTAAGTGGCCAAAAGTCCACCAGGAAAACATAATTACAATTTTTCCTCCATGAAAATGTTTCAGAAAAACATTTTTTTTTGTCTGTTTTAGGTGTGTGGGTGTAATCGTAAAACTGAAAGGTAGGCCTATTTTCATTCCAAAAATACAAAAGAGGAGTCTCGTAATTTAATAAATAAAAATATAATAAGTAGCAATTTCATAAAAAACGAACAAAAAAATATGGGTCCCCTACTTTTGAATTAATCAGAAAAAAGAATATCTGCAATACATATTACATAAAGACAGTTTAAAAAGTAGGCCTATTTCTTCTTAAAACACGCCACCATTTGTGGTTTAAATTATAGTTCATATAAGTATTATATCATGAGGTTTAATAAAAAGATTGAAATGGACAATTTAAAACAAATGGATACAAGCCATCATATTTCTACATTCCGAACTGTATTCGTTCATCTTCAGGATCAAGATGAACTCTTCAAGATAAAAAATTAAAGTTAACTATCCAATTCAAAGAAATGTCAATGCTTACATTGTTCACAGTGTGTACCACTGTATCCACCTACGCAATTACATTTGTACCCACATTGCCCGTCAGAGGTATCAACAGCGCAATAACCACCATGCTGACAATAAACGCCAATACACGGATCAGTATCTATGATGTAAGGACATCGGAAAAAAGTGAATGTGACAGTTTAAAAAAAGAAAACCGTTCATTATAAATAATAAACAACTGAATGTCAATTGCGCTCTTTTTAAATATTAAACTTTTGGTCTTTTTGGCAAAGAAAGTATATTTAGCTTGGAATATGAGTGTATTTTAGTGTGAAACAAATCAGGGCTTATCCGGTAAGTCCGAAGAGGTGTTTCCACACGGTGAATTGGGCAATCGGGAGACAATTCCCTACACTTTTCGTAATGTGTACTGCGTTCTTTTACGTGGACACGGGTCATAATTACAAATTAGACCAACGGGTTAAACGTCTTACCCAAAAGACGCTATCTTAACGTGTTACTCCTCAGCTGAACAAAATATCGGTTTGCAAAATATAGGCTCCCAGCAGGGGCATTTGTCTACTGCTTGATATACTTTTTGTTTTCTACTTGATATACTTTTTGTTTTTTGGCTACTTTTAACTTATAACCAATACGTTGTCAGACACAAACTGCATTTCAGTTGTCTTATTGTATATTCAAGGGTGATTATAGGCCTAAAAACTAGGCTTATTCTGCTTAAACCTTTATGTGTTTGTAGTTTATTTTTCGGAAAACTGTTCATTTCTATCTTTAGCATATGATGCATTTCATCATATTTCTCCACTCGGATTTACTCTTATAACTTACATGACAGATGGTAGCAAAGTGTCAACTTATTAGCAAGCGGTCAGTAGACACAAAAATAAGAGGGCATTGGTATGTAGCCAGTGGCCAAATATCTAAAAAGACCTCCAAGGTTCGTCGCACACACAGAGGCTACCACTAATTAACCGACAGTGGTGACGCTAGGATTTGGCAATGTCCTTGACGGAGGCGGGGGAAGGGGAGGATGTTTTTGACGAGAAGGCAGATTTCCTTGACGTGAAACCCGATCTCCCAGACGGGTCGAGCATAGGTGGGCGGGCGAGATATGGGAGAATCCACCTTGAAACTCCCGTATTTTAGGGATTTGAAAGCTTATTTTATCGAGTAAGTAAATTTTATCAAATGACATGCCTATACTTACTAACTAAACAGCCGTAACCGGATTGGCATGGAGGACAGCTAGTGCACTGAGCCTGACATTGGTCGTTGTAATTAATGACACATGTAGTACCCGGATTGCAATATAGTGTGTCACATGGAGATGTGTCTGTTAACAAAAAATTGTGAGAGTGAAATGTTTGATTTAAAATAAGGCAAAACCCTATCTACACTAGGCAAACAGATTTGTTAACACCAGACGCTGCTATGTTCTTTCATTTAAAAGTAGCTATAAGGAAACGCCAACATTTTATTATGATATCGATACAACACTTACATGTTTCACAATGTGTTCCCCAAAAACAGTTCTTACAATGACATGTAAACCCTCCGACATTTGGAGTACATGTTCCGCCATTTTGACAAATGACATTCTGACAAGGGTTGCTGTTGTCTAAAGAAAGGAAAACACATAACTCATTTAAACCAAGTGGCCAAAAGAACACCAGGAAAACATAATTACAATTTTTCCTCCACAAAATTGTTTCAGAAAAATATTTTTTTTGTCCGTTTTAGGTGTGTGGGTGTAATTGTAAAACTGAAAGGTAGGCCTATTTTCATCCCTCAATCAAAAATACAAAAGAGGAGTCTTGTAATTTAATAACTAAAAATATAATTAGCAAATTCATAAAAAAACGGAAAAAAATGTATGGGTCCCCTAATTTTAGATTAATCAGAAAAAAATCTGCATACATATTATGAAAACATAGTTTAAAAAGTGGACCTATTTCTTCTTAAAACACGCCACCCTTAGTGGTTTAAATTATAGTTCATATAAGTATTATATCCTGCGGTTTACTAAAAAGATTGAAATGGACAGTTTAAAACAATTGGATACAAGCCATCATATTTCTACATTCCGAACTGTATTCGTTCATCTTCAGGATCAAGATGAACTCTTTAAGATAAAAAATTAAAGTTAACTATCCAATTCTAAGAAATAATAATGCTTACATTGTTCACAGTGTGTACCACTGTATCCTCCTACGCAATTACATTTGTACCCACATTGACCGTCAGAGGTATCAACAGCACAATCACCACCATGCTGACAATAAACGCCACTACAAGGATCGGTATCTATGATGTAAGGACATCGGAAAAAAGTGAATGTGATAGTTTAAAAAAGAAAACCGTTCATTATAAATAATAAACAATTGAAATTGAATGTTAATTGCGCTTTTTTTAAATATAAAACGTTTGGTCTTTTTGGCAAAGAAAGTATATTTAGCTTGTAATATGTATATTTAGTGTGAAACAAATCAGGGCTTATCCAGTAAGCCCGAAGAGGTGTTATATCATTGGTGGTTTTTCGGGCGGTGAATTGGGCAATCGGGAGACAATTCCCTACACTTTTCGTAATGTGTACTGCGTTCTTTTAAGTGGACACGGGTCATAATTACAAATTAGACCAACGGGCTAAACGTCTTAACCGGAAGACGTTTTCTTAACGTGTTACTCAAAATATCGGTTAATATAGGCTCCCAGCAGGGGCATTTGTCAACTGTTTGATATAGTTTTTGTTTTTTGGCTACTTTTAACTTATAACCAATACACGGTTTCATGTGTTTGAAATCGTCATCGACACCACAAACAATTTTAAATATTTGTTTACATATGTTTAAAGATAAAGCATTACATAATTCAAATGTTCAATTTATTTTTCTTTCTTAACTTTAATTAAGCTGTTAAATAGCATGAAAATTTGTTCGTAAAACGATAAAAAGTTAACCCAGCATAGGTTGTTTATACAGCGAATGTCTCTTCGTGAAACGTGTCTTATTTTACGAGTTGTACGTGCTCCGTTGTCAGACACAAACTATATTTCAGTTATCTTATATTCAAGGTTTATTATAGGCCTAAATACTAGGCTTATCCTGCTTAAACCTTCATGTTTTAGTAGTTTATTTTTCGGAACACTGTTCTTTCTATCTTTATATAGCGTATGATGTATTCCATCATTCCTCTCACTCGGATTTACTCTTATAACTTACAGGAAAGATGATAGCAAATTGTCAACTTACCAGCAAGTGGACAGTAGACACAAAAATAGGAGCGGATATTGATATTGAACAAGTGACCAAACATCTGAAAAAATCTCCACGGTTTATCGCACACACAGAGGCTACCACTAATTAACCGACAGTGGTGACGCTAGGATTTGGCAATGTCCTTGACGGAGGCGGGGGAAGGGGAGGATGTTTTTGACGAGAAGGCATATTTCCTTGACGTGAAACCCGATCTCCCAGACGGGTCGAGCATAGGTGGGCGGGCGAGATATGGGAGAATCCACCTTGAAACTCCCGTATTTTAGGGATTTGAAAGCTGATTTTATCGAGTAAGTAAATTTTATCAAATGACATGTCTATACTTACTGACTAAACAGCCGTAACCGGATTGGCATGGAGGACAGCTAGTACATTGAGCCTGACATTGGTCGTTGTAATTAATGACACATGTAGTACCCGGGTTGCAATACAGTGTGTCACATGGAGATGTGTCTGTTAATTTTTTTTAAAAATTAAAATGTTCAATTATTTAAAACAAGACAAAACCTGAACTAGACTCTAACAAACAGCTTTGTTATCCTGACACTGCTATGTTCTTTCATTTAAAACTTAAACAGTAGCTATAAAGAAACGCCAACATAATTATGATAACGATAGAACACTTACAGGTTTCGCAATGCGTTCCCCAAAAACAGCTCTTACAATGACATGTAAACCCTCCGACATTTGGAGTACATGTTCCGCCATTTTGACAAATGACATTCTGGCAAGGGTTGCTGTTGTCTGAAGAAAGAATAACACATTTAAACTAAGTGGCTAAAAGCCCACCAGGAAAACATAATTACAATTGTTCCTCACGAAAATGTTCAGAAAAATATTTTTTTGTCTGTTTTAGGTGTGTGGGTATAATCGTAAAACTGAAAGGTAGGCCTATTTTCATCTCCTCAATCAAAAATACAAAAGAGGAGTCTTGTAATTTAATTTAAAAAAATATAATAGGCTATATTATCGATTCCATAAAAAGTGAACAAAAATAAAAAGAAAATGGGTTCCCCACTTTTAAATTAATCAGAAAAAACTGCATAAATATATTATAAAGACAGTTTAGTATTTCTTTTTAAAACACGCCACCCTTTGTGGTTTAAATTATAGTTCATATAAAAATATACCATGAGGTTTACTAAAAAGATCGAAATGGACATTTTAAATCAAAAGCATACTATCATATTTCTACATTCCCAACTGTATTCGTTCATCTTCAGGATCAAGGTGAACTCTTCAAGATAGAAAATTAAAGTTACTATCCAATTCTAAGAAATGTCAATGCTTACATTGTTCACAGTGTGTACCACTGTATCCACCTACGCAATTACATTTGTACCCACATTGACCGTCTGAGGTATCAACAGCACAATCACCACCATGCTGACAATAAACACCACTACACGGATCAGTATCTATGATGTAAGAACATTGGAAGAAAGTGAATGTGATGGTTAATAAAACCGTTCATTATAAATAATGAGGTATCAACAGCACAATCACCACCATGCTGACAATTAACACATGAAATAAGGACATTCAAAGAAATAGCATGAGTTTAAAAAACAAAACAAAACATAAGTGCAGCACCGATGTCAGTGTTACGTAATTGGCTACGGAATTATATTAACATCCTGTAATTGGTTGTTAACACTATTGGATGTAATATAGAATATAGTTACTGAACTGGTTTATTATCAGGCTATACAACACTTACGTGTTTCGCAGTACGTTCCCCAGTAACAACCCGTACATACACAAGTAAATCCTCCGACAATGCCTGGAACACACGTTCCTCCATGCTGACAAATAACATTCTGACAAGGGTTGTTGGCTGAATTGAGAAAAAAAACATGACACATTTTTAGAATAGGTGGCAGAAACATGCGTACTTTAAAATAAAAGATATATATTATGTAAATATTGTTTAAAAATGTACCTGCATATGGAACATATTTCTCCTTGATAGAGAAGTATACAAACAAAACATGAAAAGGCATTTTCATCATCGGAACCCTTGTTTACTATCATTCTAGTTAGAATACATTATTAGTATTTATTTAAGTACTTACTTTGTTCGCAGTGTTCACCGCTGTATCCTCCTACGCAATTACATGTGTACCCACAATTATCGTTGGTGGTATCAATAGCACAGGTACCATCATTTTGACAAAAAACACCAGAACACGGATTGGTAACTATGAAAAGTGCACGAGAAGGTAACCAAAAAAGTATTGAATGTGATATACGACCAAACCTGCTGACAAACACATTTTTGGCAAGTTTTCTCAAAAACTCTCCAATTATATAGTATTTAGGGGGCCAATACATTCCCATCGAATTGTATAAAATGGGGTTTTGTAACATTATGAGATGAAATTATCAAAAATATCACATAAAAATCCATACATTTGCCATAGTTTAATGTTAATATTTTAAACAATTATTTGCCTCAGAAGAGCCTTATAGTTAGAAGCCCAGTATAAAGTCTGTCTCTTATACACATCTAGATGTGTATAAGAGACAGTGTAGTACCCGGGTTGCAATACAGTGTGTCACATGGAGATGTGTCTGTTAATTTTTTTACGATGCCAAGACATAGATGAACAAAATTGGTTTAACAGTATAAATAATTCAAATAAATTGAAACAATATGTTCAATTCAAGTGTACTTTTGGAATTGAAGCTTATCTCTCAATGAATATAAAACCGTATTTTAAACTGTTAATGACATCTTTTCGTATATCAAATCATAACCTTGAAATTGAAAAGGGGCGTAAAAACAATGTTAATTATAAAAATAGACTTTGTATTTGCCAAGATGGTAGTATCGAAGATGAGATTCATTTTCTTTTGTTTTGCAAGTTATATACTGATTTAAGAAAAACATATCTCCCATCATATTATATTAATTTTCCAACAAACGAAAAGTTTTATCAAATTATGTCATCAAAAAACAGTAATATAATTAGAAAAGTATGTTTATTTATTTATCATGCATTTAAGAGAAAGGAAAACAAAGAAACACGGGTGTATTAATGCAATTTATTTAAAGTACAGCATTGTCACAGCATGCTTATTTAATTTGTAATAATTTTGTTTTACAAGGGGCCGGAGGCCTGAAGTTTGATGAATAAATTCCCTGTATGGGGAGCATGAGATATACATGTGTGTGTTTGTGTATTATATATTATAGACATGTATTAAGTTTAACAAACGACACACCTTTAATATTATAGATATCAATAGACTTTTTGTTTACAGCACTATTTACAATAGACGACTGGGGTTACGTGACAGGCCTAATTAGTAAAAGATTCTAAACTAAGTGAGCGACGTTCAGTATGGAAATGACTTTTTCTGCTGTAAAGGCTGGTCATCACTGATGGTAAATTGTCAGCAAACAATTGAAAGTCAAATGAAAATTGAACTCTGAATTACTCTCAGAAGGGTTGGCTAATGTTACAAAAGTTACTGGCCCCAGATTTTGAGATTTTTCAAGAAATTTTGGACCTATACCTCTGCATGTGACTAGATTTCTCGATCCGTCAACTGCAATTATTGGAACATACGTAGTTAGAATAATCCCAGTTAACAATTGTACGTTAAAATAAGGTTACATGTTTGTGTTCCAAACTTTGTCGTTAGGTATGTCAATAACTAGGGAGCTTTCGATTTGCACGACGGCGGTAGGACGTAGAACGTAACGACGTCACTAAAAGTCATCTGCGCATGCGAGAACGTTAAGGTCACCTCATCGAGTAGATTCTGGAACGCAATTTGGCTAAATCTACGTATATGCAGAGAACGTAGGACGCCAGGTAGGACTGTCACGCATGATTTCGTTGAGCGTCGCGCTGTCGCAGCAAACGATGAAACGTTCTTTAGTAATTAACTTACACAAATGCATTTACCAGACAAGAAATACATTTTAATATATATCACAACCGATTTTAAGCTCACCATTTAGGCTAGGCCTAACTATTAATTTTATTACACAAACTGGATAGGCCTACAAACATGAAATTCATCGCATTTGTTCATACCCATAATATACTAGAATTTGCTTGTAAGCATTGTTACACTGAAGATGTCAGTTGTACTACAGAAACATATTTGTATCCAGTTTATTAATAAAAAAAAAAAAGAAAGTTGGGCATAGCCTCAATGATCAGCTTGAAATCGGTTGTGATTTTATTAAGACATACGTTTAGGCCTTTTATGTTTCTAGAAAAATTGTACACCAAAGTGTAATGTTATTATAAGGTTAGTATAAAGTAAAATTTTAAGTCGAGAAATCATTTATAATACAATTGTCAACTAAATGCAATGTTATAAGGCTGCAATAATGTCATTTTCTGACAAAAAATGGACCAATACTAGTTTGTGTCTATTTTATTCAGTAGGCATATTTAAAATATTTTGTAAGCAAGTAAGCTGGTTGTGTGGAGGGCGCTGTATATTTTTTAAAAAATATTAAAATTTATAACTCACAGGTCTCACAATATGTTCCAGAATAGCAGCTTGTGCATACACATATGTACCCAAGTGGTGACGTACTTGCGCTGCTTTGAACGCATGTCCCGCCATGTTGACAGACAATATAGTTACAGGGGTTACCAATATATGCTATCCATTTTGGAAAAAAAAATACGTAAGTGTATTAGTATCAGTATTATTCGCATCATTTGCTGAAGAGGCTATTATTAATGATATAAATAAAACAATCATAATAATTATACAAAATAATGTTTAATATAACTAGAAAACTAATAATAATGACAATAATTATTGTTGAATGTTTGTATTTTTTCTATTATTAACAATTTTCAATCTCCTCCTAAAAGTACAATTATAAAATGGAATTTTGGTTTTACAATTAATCAAAACACCTTTGGCTAAAAGATCTAAGATACAATTCTAAATACAAGTGTTCGTTGTGATTGTGATTGAAATAACACGTGTCTAAAGTCGAAAACACACAGTTGCAGAGATGTCACTGAATGGCCGTCGGCTGACTCAGTCACCTCCGCTCTTCGTAAGCGCTTGACGATGCTGATTTCGGGTACAGTCTGAGTGGATTGTCGGTAAAACGGTCCGTCGCGCGTGCCTCTCAGGCGACGACCGTTGGTGCATTGTGTTCCCGGTTTTAAAGACAAAGGCTAACTTCCACTACATTTTATCAAATTGAATTTGATCTACAATTTCAATAATAATTACTTATTACACTTAAGTAAGCCTGATAAAAACTTATTTACACTCTGCCAGCACGTGCCTTTTGGCTTTTCTTCTGAATATGAATAATGTATATGCGCCACACACTGAACCTTATAAAATAGTTCACACGCGTAATCTCTCGTACTGTTTCAATTTAGGAATTAAAAAAAAGTAATTGGTAAGAGAAAGAAAATTTAAAAGTACTATGATAACATCATGCCCCCAAATTGATGCAACTTACCGTAGCCACTCACAAGATCCAGAGCAAACAGGCCATAAGCAAATGCCAAAAACATTTCCATAAACATAAAGCGTATCTTACAATGCCGTAATTAATTTGAAATTGTATTCTGCATTAAATTTCACGTCGTAAAAATGCGTTTGGCGACTGATTGTGATCGCTTTTTTTTACCGTAGCTTTTATAGGGCAGCCCTTAAGAAAGCGCATCTTAAGATTAGTGTTTAAGTCGGGCTAGTATCAGGCTTGGACGGCAACGGACACAGATTTGATCACGTATCAACGCTACAACAATGAAGAAGAATAAACTCCGTGCAAAGTAGGTCTCTTTTGAAAGGTTCAAATAAAGGAAATTAATCTCATCTTAGATCTGTACGATATAAGAAAAGTTGGGGATACATTTTTTACATATTTGACCATTGCAACAAAATTCAAAAACGGTACAGTAAAAAATGGCAATTAGGCCTATTTAAATAATCGAAATGTATTGTTATGAGGCTTTTATAATATAGACTAGATAGCACTAGTCATGTTAGATATATTAAACTAATATTAATTTCAATATATTAATTTCAATATAATATTTAGAAAATGCTAATAATAACTGATCGATTTTAGATTGTGTTATAAAAATACATAACCGAACATTGTAAGCTAACAATAACTGCACATTAAATGTACAAAAGAATGTGCATATTAAATAATATGATAATTATAAATTATTATTTCTACCTATCAAAACCAATCCAATGAGAACATTTGTAAAGCGCATTTCTTTGCAGATACGGAGAAGGAGTGGCAAAGCTTGTAAACATGAGTAAATAATGCAACAATAAAAATAAAAATAAGAATAAAAATGGGATAATTAGTATATAATTATACCGCCACTAGAAAAAAAATGATTTGCAATCATTTATGTTAAGTGAAATGATTGTTGGATAATCGGTATGAGTTCTAGATTCAATTCCCATCATCCCATCATTTTTCTCCATGTGTTCATCAGAACTGAAATAGAAGTATAAAAAGCACATCGTCTTCCATTATATGAGACGTAAGCCGTTGGTCAGTGCGCAATACCAATATGTCCCATTGCACTTTCAGTATATCTTCGGAATAGAGTAAAGGTCTGTTTATACTTGCAACGATAACGATATAAGGCTAAAACGCAATTATTCATATAGAAACTAAAATAAATAAGAAAGGTTTTTACACTAGGACGATTCGATAACGAAATATCGTGTAGACGATAACACAATATTGACAAATCAATTCAAATGGTGCTATAATCATGGAAAAACAGTAAAATTGTTTGTTACTTCTACGATTTTTCTATATGAATAATTGCTTTTTTGATTTTTATCGTTATTGTTATCGTTGCAAGTATGAGCAGGACTTAAGTGATTGTCTCTTGGTGTACTACCCAATTACCCCCAGAAGGAGCCGAATAGAAAAAGTCTTCTTTGGCTTTTTGTAGGTTATCATTGTTGTTTTCAACGAATAAATCCAATCCAATTTTTCCTATTTATCAATTTTTTTTTTTTTTTTGGAATTTCTAATCTTTATTTTACAGTATGTACGTGATTTATCCCAAACATGAAGGATCCGGGTAAGTGTGTTAATTGTATGAGATGGAAGTAAGTGTGGGCAAATAGTTTCTAAGCGTGTCGAGATTTTTATGGGATTATTATATTAAAATATCATCTTATACGGATAAGTGGAATTTATTTCAAGTTTGCAGAACAATGTTAGATAAAATAAAGTAAATATACTGCGGAAATTGATTTGGCATAGTTGTTGTAGTTTATGACAACTAAAAATGATTAATTGGGTAATATTAAGCCAATGATAGATGATGATACTCAAGAAATAAAAGTAT